GTTTCCATTCACTTCATTCATGTTGTTAGATCCATGTTTGGAAATCAATCGACTAGGGATGACATGGGTTCAAAACCCAGATTTATATTTGTACATCTCTTCAGGTAGTGACTTTTTTGGACACCATTCTTTAGGTTCTTGATCATTTGGTTATTCAAAAACTAAATGCGGAGGGTAGGCTGGAGAAACGAGAAACTAAAAAGGGAAGTAATTTTGACAAGGTAAGGACTTCTTTTGAATGTTTATCATGGCTGTTTGATTTCCTTTCAAGGTTTAATTTCTGTCATAACAAACACTTGTGTATTCTAGAACGAGCTTTCTGCAATATTGAGATTTGGAGCGGAAGAACTTTTTAAAGAGGAAAAAAATGATGAAGAAAGCAAAAAGCGGCTGTTGAGTATGGATATTGATGAAATCCTAGAGAGGGCGGAGCAAGTAGAGGAAAAGGACGCTGGTGAATCAGAACATGAACTGTTGGGTGCTTTTAAGGCAAGTTGAGATGTTTTTCCCCTTTTGTCTTCAGTTCTAGGTGAACCTAATAGATGCAGGAAAACAAAGAGCAGCCCAAAGCTATTGTCTGCTTTGAAGTCTTCATGGCATAAATCTCTGAATCTAATCTTCATTGCTTTGTATTGAGTAAATGCTTTCCTCTGCTAACTTTTCTGCGTATTCAGGTTGCGAACTTTTGTAATGCTGAAGATGATGGGTCCTTTTGGAGTCGTTGGATAAAACCTGAATCCGTAGTTACGGCTGAAGTAAAAATTCTCTCTTCAATAAGAATGTGGCCTCCTATGTCATAGGTTTCTTTTCACATGGTCTGTTTTGATTTGTCAGTTGCTAAACTTGTGTTACCTTTGTATAGGAAGCTCTTGCACCACGGGCTGCTAGGAATACGAAGAGTTATGTGGATCCTAGCCATCCTGACAGGACTAGTAAAAGAAAAAAGAAAGGATCTGAGCCTCCGGAGCATACGGAGAGAAGTCAAAAGCGCAGAAAAACTGAGTATTTTGTTCCTTCAACTCCAATACTAGAGGGGACTTCAGCTCAAGTGAGAGGCTGGTCTTATGGAAATCTTCCTAAGAGAGATGCCCAACGATTTTATCGAACTGTACGTTGAAACTATTCTCATCTAATGCCCCTTTCAGAGTATTTTCTGGATACTGGAAAAAAGTTTAGTATTTAAGGCTCCTCAATTTTGTTCACCAACAAATGATTTCACTCGGGGTTTCATTGGCTCCATTAGTTTCTAAGTTAATTTTTGGGTAGTCCTGAAATTGATCGACTTGTTTACCTAGTTTTACTCCTTGAAGTTTTTGAACTACTACTGCTTGTTACAGTTCTCATTGTATAATTCAGGTCATGAAGTTTGGGAACCATAATCAAATTGCATATATTGCGGAAGAGGTGGGTGGTGTTATTGAAGCAGCCCCAGAGGAAGCACAAGTTGAGCTATTTGATGCTTTAATTGACGGTTGTCGGGAATCTGTTGAAACAGGAAATTTTGAATCAAAGGTAAAACTTGAAATAAAACATCTGAACTGGAGGCTCTATTGTTTGTTTGTTTGTTCTAACTGTTATTGTTTCACTTGGATATTTCCAATCTTGTTTGCTGTTCTATGCAGGGACCTGTACTGGATTTCTTTGGTGTGCCAGTAAAAGCAAACGAATTATTAAAACGTGTGCAAGGACTGCAGCTTCTATCAAAGCGCATTAGTCGATATGATGATCCAATTACACAATTCAGAGTGTTGTCATACCTTAAACCTTCTAATTGGTCCAAGGGTTGCGGTTGGAATCAGAGTACGTGCTAGGTTATTCAATATTAGAGCGTCTGTCTAATGTTTTTCATTCTAAATCTTTTATTGTTTGCTGTTCTCAGTTGATGATGCAAGATTGCTTCTGGGAATACTTTATCATGGTTTTGGGAACTGGGAGAAGATACGATTAGATGAGAGCCTTGGACTTACAAAGAAGATTGCTCCTGTTGAACTTCAGCACCATGAGACTTTCCTACCTCGTGCTCCAAATTTGAAGGAGCGTGCTACTGCACTTCTGGAAATGGTGCATATTACTTGCTACGATATCTTTTGAGAGACTTTTTTCCCCTTTTTTTATTAATTCTTTTAATATCCTTCCTTGGAGAACATATTGACAGTATGAAAATTACTTTTCACAGGAACTTGCTGCAGCAGGAGGGAAAAACACAAATGCCAAAGCATCCCGTAAAAATTCCAAAAAGGTTAAAGACAACCTTATTAATGAAATTAAAGCACCTGCAAGAGACAGAAAAGGGAAATCTGGTCCTGCCAATGTAAGTTTAAAAACAACAAAAGATGGACCTCGGAGAACCCAAAAAGCTGAGCCACTGGTGAAGGAAGAAGGAGAGATGTCTGATGATGAGGAAGTTTACGAGCAGTTCAAGGAGCAGAAATGGATGGAATGGTGTGAAGATGTCTTGGCTGATGAAATCAAAACTCTTGGACGTCTACAAAGATTGCAAACCACGAGTGCGGATCTGCCAAAGGAAAAGGTTTAATTCATTTCCTTTTATCTTCCATTGTTCGTCGTGCTGGGCAGTGCTGTGTCTTTTATCTAATATTTTCTGGAATTGCGCAAATAGGTGCTTTTCAAAATCCGGAGATATTTACAAATCCTTGGGCGAAGAATAGATGAAATTGTCTTAGAACACGAAGAGGATTTATACAAGCAAGATAGTAAGTTATGCAACCTCTGCTTAATTTTACAGACAATTTTTTTTTAGTAAAATTCGGAATCAAAAGTTGGATAAATCCATGCTAGATATAAGTCTCAAATTACTTTCTTACTCAGAGAACCATTTTGATGCCCATGGTTGTATTGTTAACGGGAAATTGAAATGCAGGAATGACGATGAGATTGTGGAACTATGTTTCAACTTTCTCAAATTTATCGGGGGATCGACTCAATCAGATCTACTCCAAATTGAAGCAAGAGAAAGAGGAAGAGGAGGGCGTTGGACCATCATCGCACATCAATGGCTCATCCGCCGGTAGGAATTTCCAGAGGCAACAAAGGTACAAAACACCAGGAAACTACCAAGGGTCGCAGCAGGTACACAAGGGCATTGACACGGCAAAGTTTGAAGCATGGAAAAGGAGAAGAAGAACAGAAAATAATGATAATGTTCAGTCTGAGCGACCACAGATAATCAACTCTAACTCACTTGGAATACTCGGCCCTGCACCATCAGATAGAAGCCATCGGACACGTCAAACTGGATTTCCCCCAAGATAAGTTTGCTCTGTTTTGGTACCATGCAATATGCTCTGTGCACTTGCCGGTTGAACTCTGGTTTGATCGTGGATTCAGAAGTTCAACAACATATATACCTGAAAGATTCAATTTTTTTTTTTATAAAAAAAAGACGGATACACAGCAGCAATGTTAGGTGTTTTTGGTTGCTCAAGTTGGATATGGGCATGCCCGACCAGCTTTTGGAATGAATATATACCGGTGAAAGTCGTACATTTGTTACTGAGCAAAGGGATAACACTTACCAGGTGGTTTGCTTAGGTAAGATAGCTGTGCATGTAGTCGAGCTGCTAAACTCCATTTCCTTTTTATATATATATATATGTTACCCATTTGGAATAGAGCGAATCAAATTGTACATTACCAGTTTTGTTAATTCAGTTTCCTTGTTATATTTTCACTTTTCAAACATACCACTTCAGTTCTGTCTATATGTTATGTGATGACAATCATTCCAAACCCAATATTTCGCCAAAACCATCGTTGAAAGA